CACATCTTACAGGGCACATGAAGAGCCACACTGGAGAAAGGCCATACGCATGCGATCAGTGTGGGAAGAGCTTCACACAGAAACCACATCTTACAGGGCACATGAAGAGCCACACTGGAGAAAGGCCATACGCATGCGATCAGTGTGGGAAGAGCTTCACACAGAAACCACATCTTACAGGGCACATGAAGAGCCACACTGGAGAAAGGCCATACGCATGCGATCAGTGTGGGAAGAGCTTCACACAGAAACCACATCTTACAGGGCACATGAAGAGCCACACTGGAGAGACGCCATACGTATGCGATCAGTGTGGTAAGAGCTTCACACAGAAACCACATCTTACAGCGCACATGAAGAGCCACACTGGAGAAAGGCCATACGCATGCGATCAGTGTGGGAAGAGCTTCACACAGAAACCACATCTTACAGGGCACATGAAGAGCCACACTGGAGAGAAGTCATACGCATATGATCAGTGTGGGAAGAGTTTCACGCAATCATCGTACTTTACCGTTCACGTGAGGATTCATGTTGCTGTACGCATGTTATCAATGTGGCAAAACATTTCTGTGGGCTTCATACCTGAAGAAACACCTGACAATTCATTCAAAGGAGGTCACATTCATGTGGTCCACCTGTCCGTCACAGCAGCGCCATCTAGCGTAGAGGACAGAAAACACTACACTGAACACACACACAGACAACACAGTACAGCACAAATGAACACAAGCGACTCCTGTCAAAACAGCTCTAGTGAAAGACAAGAAGAATTTCGTTTGTTTGCTTATTTATACACGTATATAATAAAAAAATTTTTTTGCCATAATGAGGGAAGTTACGCTATTGTAAATGAGCATTCATTATTCACACTTCAGATTTTGCTGCATGGTTATAATACACAAATCCATGAGCCATTTTTACTGAAATTTCTCTGGCACGAGATAAAGACATCTCTAACATCTCAACCAGCAGGATTCACCTGTTTCTGAACCCTTGAGGAAGCTCAATGCCTCTGCTACTGAATCATAAATACCTTAAACTCCCCATAAGAAAATAAACACAAACAATAGGCCTATATTTCGTTTTTCATATGTAGGCTACACTCTAAAAACAATGGTGCTATATAGCACTAAAAGCAGTTCTTTGGCTTGTAATCATAGGAGAACAACTTTTAGTGCAATTTAGCACCTATTTTTACAGGTGCTATATAGCACCTTAACCAATCCAAAGAACTGCTGAAGAACCTTTTTTTTTTTAGAGTGTACGCATTTAAAATGCCAGATGTCATTTAAAACAGAAGATGATAATGCACATTCTGCAAAAACATACACCTCGTACCAGCAAGTTAAAAGGAAGCACAAGCAAGCTTTTGGTTTTCCTTTTCTGAACTGTGCTTTTCATTCGATGTATAAGATCAGGTGACTCTACGGAAAGCAGAACTTGTCTGATTTCATGCCTCTGATCGATCGCCGGATCATTTGTCCATCATTCAATAAAGAGTCAAACTAAACACTATACACACTCGAAGGCGCTGTTTGTGAGTTCTTCAGACAGGTGAGATCTGATTAGTTCAGGTAATTGTTGAATCCAACAAAGCTAAATTAAACAGAATACCTGCTTCAAGCATTAGAACATAACTCTAGAATAGATGCTTGTTTTGCCAGTTTGTCGTCAGTAGCCTATTAATTATTTTCCATCACTAATGAAACTAATAGGCTATTCAAAGCTGCATTTCTGCAGAGTTGTTTATTTAGAAGCTTAGGGGAACACTGATCAGATATATCAGGCTGCTTAAGCGTTAAGTTAAATGGACTTTATATAGCAGCTTGAAATCAATAATCATATGAATCTATTAGTTTTATTTTGATTGTCATTCACAATGCTTCATGGGGATTGTAGTTCTTTCCCTTAAAGTTAGCAGTGATTTTCTTTTTTCTATTTTGCTGATTGGTTTGGTTCAACTCTTTAACAAAAACGTTTTAAAAAAATATTTCCAGAACCGAGTGCGCTTTAAAATGGTCTGGTACTGTTGCAGGGTATTACAATAACACATTATTATGTTTATAAGACGTTACAGTAACTTCTACTGGAACATTATGAGCATAGTTTCCGCATTTCCTTCCAATCACATTTTCAAACCCCTGCAGAACGTTAAGTGCTTGTACAACTTCATGAAACATTTTTCTACATAGTGCTTGTTTGTTTTAGAAAATATTAATGTTAAATGCAATCACAATTAATAACATTATGTAACAGTAATTATTCTGTAGGATTTGTCACTCAGCTTTTGTATTTGGATATATAGTAGGGTGACCATACGTCCTATTTTTTAGACCTACAAGAATAGGCCGGCAGGGTGCAAACTACGGGGGAGCTAGGGGCAGCTTGGCCCCCCTTAATAAGACATGGGCTCCCCTGAAAACGTGATTTGTGAAATTTTGGGGGGGTCTCAAAAAATATTGGCAATGTGTTATTTTGACATGCAATTTCAGTTTTGTGTAATGTGATCATCGTGGATTATTATGTGTAAAATTGCAAAAATATCATTCATTCATTCATGCATGACGGCGATTTAAACCTAATTCACTTCAATAAAGATAACTATACGTGCTATTCTTGTCATGAGCATCAAGGTGTGGGGGCGCTGCGGTGCAAATTCCACTCATGTTTAGTACATGTTTGTTAACTCAAAGATTCGTAGAAAAAATATAAACGCTGGACTCTGTGGTCGATTTACTCAAGTTAAAACACTTTCATCATCCTCATGAATGTATGTATGCTGGTTTACCTAATGGCTGCGACACACACCAGTTTTTGTTCCGTGCGGATTACAATCGAATCCTTTCATTATAACATACAGAGTGTGTACACGCCACAAAATATGTGAAAATGTGCATTAAGACTAGAGCACCCTCATTCAGAAGCACCCTCAGTGATTATTTCTGGCTGGTACGCTTTTATTGTATAGCCTACAAAAACAACAAAATACAAATGCACTAAATAAAATAATTTAATAAATGCATATTTACAATTTAAGCACTTAACTAAAATGAGTATTAAATAATTAAATAAATAACTAGAGAAGGCTGACTATAACCAGTTTGCGTCCATTTAGTAAGAAAAGCCTTGGCTACTCTTCACCTGAATTAGAAAGGAAAGCTCTTCTGGTGTTCAGTGATGCGAGGACAACGTTTGAGCGTGTACACGCAATATCTAATATCGGCTGTTTTCTTAATCCCGCTCCCGCTGAATCTCTGACCATTGCCCCCTGCTCCCGCAGCATGTGTTTCGCTACTGCGATTTTCATGTCCACTCCTGTAAACATTCTAATATTGTATATAATTTTGGTGCATCAGGGAGCCGCTCTCAGGATGCGGTGCATCTAAATATTTTTGATTGAGCGCTTGCGCCGTTTACTTTCACTTTCGATTTCACCATCACACGCACTCTGTGTAAAGGGAGCACATCTTACAAGATCGGATATTTGGGTTGATTTTCCCAAGTGGGTTAAAGGTTTGAAATATTGCATAAATTACATTTGACTGAAATGCTTGTATTGAAACATTTTGCATTCTACCTATGATAAAACTTTCATGGACTTCTACATTAACTGTTCCCTCCTGGTGGAATAACCTACCCAGCTCAATTCAAGCAGCGGAGTCCTTAATATTTTCAAGAAACGGCTGAAAACACATCTCTTTCATCTTCATTTGAGCCTCTAGCTCTAGCTCTCGCTATTCTAATGCTACTTCTAATTTTATCTCCTTGTTTTTTATTATTAAAAAAAACTTGACCCTCTAACATTTGCACTCTCTATTCTATTTCTATTTCTATTCTAACTACTTGTTTTATTTATAAAGAAAGAAGAGCCTCTACCACTAGCATTCTCTATTCTTTCTAATTATTTTATTTTTATTTATTATAAATAA